TTGGTTGCGCGTGAGAACTCCCATAAAAACTCGATGGATTAAATATGCGAAAGCTGCAAGAATGTGGCTTCATTCATCTATTGAATCGCTTTTATTGGCTTAAAGAAATTATTGTTCATGAGATTCCAGTTTAAGCGTATCAATATTTAGTTATTTGAAAAGCCACTTTAACTTGAAAATTCCATGTTTTGTTCTGTTTTCATTTCGCTTGTTTCATTATCTTCTTCTTTTTATCGCTACCATTTAAACATTCGTTAAGTAGTAATTTATAAGGAATATTACTAGAGGCTAGCGTTTCGAATCAGCACTGTATAACAACTACGGTAGATTGAAACTGTTTTCTGTATATGTGTATTTTGTAATTAAAGCATCGGTTTAATGAAGAAGACCGTTTCCTCAATTGCATTTCAAAGCACCTGCATCTCGGATTTTTGACTATTTTTTTTTTCTTGTTCCAAAGATCAATTGTCTAATATATCTGGAACTTCCAGCTTCAGTATAAATACGTTTTGAATTTTTGGATGTGACAAAGGGAAAAACAAATGTTCAAAATATTAGATTTTTTTCCTTAAAATGATATGAAAACCAATCATAAGGTATCCTTTTCTTAAGGCTATTGTTTGAAACATTAAGAATGTGTTCAAAAAATAAAACGTAGAATATGAGTTTTATTACACTTTGTACAATAAAACAAAGTTTATTTATCGCAAAATTGAAAATAAATTGTGTGATTTTGTTGGATACAACAAAAATTGAAAGAATACATAATTTAAACTCTTATTTCTATGGAGAAAAAGAAAAACGTTTTGGTGGTTACTTTGAACTTTGCTACGTATACTATTCTGTGAAGCATTCATGCTTTGGATGTGTGTTGTTATATGTATATGTATATGTGTTGTGTTGTGTGTGGAGTGTGAATTTGATCTCATTATGCAAATAGAATGGGTTAAAATCCGTTGTATATAAGTTATTGATTGCAAACAAATTATCTCACAATACTTCAAAGGTTTTTTCCCCTTTGTGGTTGTTCACAAGACTCTGATCTTATTGATGTTGTTTACGTATTTCAATTTTTTTTTTAAATAACATTATTGTATCAGTTTCAAACTTTCGTTTCAAATGTCACGTCGAAGATTGACGATGTTCGTTTTGACAAAAAAAGCAATCGAAATAAAATTATTGTTTTGATTGAAAGATTTTAATTACTTTTTAGAATGGAATTGGAAAGGCCGTTGGAATGAGTAAGAAAACTGTCACAAAATTGCTACCACTTGATATTCACTTCGTGCTTCTCTTTTCGATGTTTCAATATAGATCTTAAAACAGATTACTCCATGCTACAATTATTTTACGCAAGAATTAAACTTTTTGTGACGCAGTTTTTACTCAACCACGACCAATTTACTAATGTCTATTCTTTAAAAGTAACAAAACCGGCGTTTGGTTTTCGCTTGCCGCCGCCGCTGCCAATTCGATGCATCAAGATTTTGTCAACAATTTTATTCGATTGTTTGTCTTTGCCGTTGAATCGTTCACAATATCTGCGCGCGTTCAATACCTTTTTTCCAGTCAGAGTTGATTGGCTTAGATTTTTGGTAGGATTTGGTGCTCGTGGAGCATACGTAAATTGCTTATCAACGCTAATAAAATCAGTGTCGATGCCATCATCAATAACCATATCTAAATCGTGTCATTTGGGTAAATTGAAGTTGTCCTGTTCAATTGGCTTTTTCAACCAGCTGCCCAAATCCTCGCGTCGAAATGCGTCAAACAATTCACGTTTGGCAATTTGATATTCGCGTGCTGCCTGCTTCGTCTCACTATAATCACCGGTTATTAAGCGTGCAACTCGCAAGTTCGGCAATTGTTTGATAAGATTTGCATACCGTCCGAAGAACACTTGCTTTGTAAGCCGCGACACTTTGCTATTTACCGTTTTTCCGGTTAACGAATTTACCACCTCAACGGTTCTTTGGCTGATCGTCCAATTGATTCCGAAATTCGGTGCCTTAATTTGATTACGCGTTTCAGTCGATGTGACCAGAGCAAATTTTGGCTTGTTCAAAAAATATGGCGGCGGAAGACCTTGAATCGATGTTTCGATACGACCGCAGACAGCACTAATATAGATAGAATTGGAATTACTGGAACTAGAAATAAATCATGAAGAATTTCGTGTCTTACCGATACATATGATCCGGATGGAGTAAACTACCCAAAACAACAGAGTACAAGTAAATTGGTTGGATAATTGATGAGAGAAGTGCACCCTGTACACCAACTACATTCCATCTGGCGATTTTGTCAGAGCATGACATTGTTAACAGTCGTTGTCCTTGCATCACCTGCAACAAATGGTTATCGTTATCGTTATCTTTAGCTCGACAACTTCAATAGAGAGATCTCTTTTTTTTTATTACCCCATCCCATGTCTGGATTCCATCGCTACTTTTTACCGGTATCGTACCTTCACCTGATTCAATTTTCGTGCGCAGCTGACCACGTGCTTTCCTTCTCGATACAATTAATAATTTGCAAAATTAGCAAAATAAAACAATACAATTGTAAAATGAATTAAGCAATAAAATACCGATTTGGATGTTTGTCCACGCCGATCTCAGTTTCATGTGGCGAAAAAATGCGAGCATCTCCACAGGGTGCAGTGTTAATGAAAAGATGGAACTTGATTCCATCACGTAATTTATACAATTGATCAGGCTGTGATGGTCTTACGAAAATTGAACCTTTTGCTGTGCCTACGTCAATTTTGAAAGAAAATTCTTTTCAGATTTTTGTTTCCGAACGATTCTAGCGCTAGTTCGGTGGATACTTACTTGCATTTGTGTGCAATTCCAATTGACTGTAGAAGAAATCCATGAGGCATCGTCTGGCAACGATTTCAGCATGCGAATCATTCAAACTAGTTCCGCTGATACTCATGTATTCCCCATTGATGCACTTGGTACCTGATTTTAAATTTTGCAAAATAAATAACTAAACAAGAAGAAACTGAATCTAATGCATCTCAACCTGTGGTGACTGATATCACTTTTGCTGTTTTTAGATCCAGATTCTCCGTCATCACAATTCCAGCCAACACTTTTCGTCGACTATAATTCTCAATGTTGACTGTCGCTTCAGCAAATTGCTCCAATACCAATCTAAAGAGAAAAACACCGATAACGGAATGAGTTAATGAAATGAACTTTTGCAAAAATTGAAAAGAAAATTTCTTTGAAAAAAAATATATAAAACATTGTTGTCTTCAGAGAAAAAAACAACACTCACTTTCCAATGCTATCAGCGAAGGTTTGTGGCAGTTCATATGACTGTTTCTTATTGCTTTCGACGGGAGCGATTTCGTTAGACTTCATTTGCATTGGACTGTACGAAATATCACATAACGTTGCTAAGGCTGCTTTGGCAGCTGCATTCTTTGCCAGCTTCTTCGACGGACCTGAACACTCAAGTGTATAATGTTAACTGATAATGAACATAAAATCAAATCAAATCAAATGATGTAATCAAACGAACCGGTTCCTTCAAATTTCTGGCTATTTACAGTAGCCACCATTTTAAATCGTGAATGTTGCACACCATCCGATGACACACAATCGATTTGCACATCGTTGAATAACTCGTAAAGCAGCATGACTGGGCCCTTTTCTGGTGTTTGCTTCTTATTCATCATCGTCTTGTTCGTTTCTTTACGACAAGAAAAAAAAATATAATAAAAAGTTCTCGGCTAGACGAGTTATTCTTCAATTCAACTGATAACCGAATAACCTTTACCATTATTATCCATGTAATCATCACTGGTAAAATCCATACTGATGGCCGTTTTGATGGGTGACAGAGCAGTGCCATCTTTGAATTGAATGAAATTTCGTAGAGCCGCTTCGGCTGCCTGTATGCGTGCCAATTTCTTACTTCTCCCATGACCGACGTATTTTTCGCCGTCGACCTATTATTAATTTTTTTCCCAATAGGCCAATACAACGACAGGAAAAAGAAATTTTCTTTAATCGGTTTTCAACACGGTGTCAATCATAAATAATTAATTGATGAAATTACCTCAACCGTCATTGTAAAGATGGGTGCATGAACTGGGCCACTTTGTGCTTCTAAATTATAAACAAGACCTTGCCGTAATTCATTGAGCATAGCCACCGTATTTTTCGGCTGTTGCGCACTTGCTATGCCATTGTTTGTTTTCAATTTTTTCCTTGGTATGCCAGCTAAAAAGAAAAACAAATAAATGGGACCGATTATCACGTTTGTCGCTTGCACCTTTGTGCAAACAAACACGGAATAATTCCAATTCGATGAAATACAAAGAAGAAAAAACACACATACCGGCAACCGGATCGACGCTTCGTCGTTTTAGGCCCATGTTATGGTTATTTCGATTCGTTTTTCTAACTGTGCTGGGACTTTGCAGCATCGAGCCACCACATTTCATTTGTGAAACACCGTTCGGAGCTTTGTTTTGTTGATTTTGAGAATGATTCACTTCATCATTTCCATTACTAGTCATATCGTTCTAAAATTCAATCGAGCAAAAAGAATTTGAAAAAAAAAAGAATAGCAAAATAGCCGTAAAGAACAATGAGAGCGTGTAGACAGAAAATAGCACGAAACACACAAAACCATCAGCTCGAATGAAAGGACTCGTCGCAACTGATTTGAACAGCCGAAGCTCAAGAAGTCAATGAATATTACGGAACAAATCACGGAAAAATAATGAGAAAAATGGTTTTTGTGTATTCCGGGTGCTCCCGACTTGACAACATAAATTATGTTCAATGCGGATATCAATGCAGATGTAGAGTGAGTGTGTACAACCACGACGACGACGACGACGAGAATGCATACACATATGTTCGTGCAAAGGGTTCAAAACCACTATAGATTCCAAAAGTAATTGTAAAGCACACGTATAGCTATAAATATAGTTCATACACAATAAGCAATTTATTTCGATAGTTTACACATAAAAACGCTCCCCCGAAATAACCAAAAAAAAAACGAGTGAACACACTTACACACCGAAAATAGACACACAGAGAATTAAAAAAAAAAAACAAAAGAATCAAAAGCAATAAAAGTCGAAAGCAAAAATCTTCGCGTATTATATACAGACTGGACTGCTTGCACAAAAACGAATCATTTTTGAACGGTGAATGGTGGCTGAACAAAACAGGATAACGCTAAATGGCTTATGTTGATTGTTTCTACACTATGCTTGTGTATGCGTGTGTTCGAGCTTATTTCATGAGAGAGCATGCACAGAAAAGCGTTTTTCAATGATAAAACGACCGAAAAAAAATTTATGGGATAAATTCCATCGGTACATGCATGTGTTAGTTGCATGCATATATATATAGTTTGCGTCGGCATATAGTTATGCGAGCGGCGATAAGGAAGTAGATGAATTTTGCATAACCGAAAATAATACGAGAAAAATCAATAAATTGAATCCTTTTCCTTCTACCTCGATACTGGCCCTCAATGTACATACGATCATCAATAATACTAAACTTATGAATCAACATTTGAAATTCGAATACGATTTACTTCGCAGTGCAGACAGAGAGAAAGAGGGAGTTGCAGCGAGAGCAAGTAGAAAAAACGCGAAATTTCCACAAGCAATGCACTTTCCATTCTACTACACACAACAAAGCACTCACACTCTTTTTCTTCCTTTTTGGCCTTTCATTTTCTTACCAATAAAATCGAATCTACTTTCTCAACTGCATAAATCAAGCGCTTTATATCAAATGTAGACAGTGCGCACGTCTTCCAAATGAACGATTATGTTTCCATTTATTTGATTTCAAAACTCAAATTTATTTACTTCGTGTTTAATATTCATGAACAAAACATAAAAGAGAGATACACAAATACAAAAATGACTTCTTTTTTCTCACGGAATACACATCCCGTATCATTTGGCTGAATTGTCAAAACAACATGCTATCGGATGTCAAGCAAACCACACAGCAGCAGCGCACAACGTGGTGTTGCCATCGCACATATACATACACACACACACTCAATCGCTGCTGCGGCTTTGTCGGAAATATGCATTTATTTGCAATTTAAAATCGACTATTTTTGGATTTTTTGCCCCAACCTCGAAGAAAATTATATTTTTTCATGTTTTCATTCAATAACCGCGAGAATATTTGCGGCTGGATTATTCAATGTGAGCATGCACAACTGTTATACTGACCTGCTTTGTCACATGTGTCAATGTGTCAGATAGCTAATAGCTCTATGTGAAGGGAAAACATTTCAATTCAATTTCACATTGATACAATCCGATTGCACACTGCACAGTGTTTGAAGATAAAAAAATTTCTCAGTTTAAAATTTCAGTTGAAAAGTTTAGAGAAAATATTCAGAAATATGACAAAATCAAAAGAAGCACCCGTTCCACTTGATGTCGTCGCTAACTTGATCCATGACATAAAAGTCGGGTAAGAAAAATGCCGATTGCATATTTCAAAATCAATCTTACATCAGCACATATTTTCAGCAACATTGAGGGATCGTACGTTATAACAACGCATGCCGTTCAACTGTTCAAAGAAATCATTTCGAAAACAAAATGGAAAACAGCAGAGTATGACATTGTTTTTGGAATAATAATTTTTTTTTGCTACAATCCTTGATTCGAATTCATTGGTTTTTGTTTAAAATAGCGAACTTATGACAATGGTACGACAACAAGGGCGGTTGTTTGTATCGGCATTACCACAAGAGTCCGTTATTGCGAATATGGCAAGACGCGTATTGAAATTAATTCGAGAAGAATTTGATGCACTTCAGAAGGTTCAAGTTCCAGTTGCGGATGATTCACAAGCCACACTGTCACTGCACAAATTGGTTACACAAACGAGTGAGAGTGAACAGGTTCGGGACTATTCTAAACCACAAGATGGTCTTCGAGCTGCGTTGTTGGATCATTTGCAAGAGATTGAAACTGAACTCGAAACCAGCGCTGAAAATCTCTCAGCACAGGCTGCTGAACATATTCATTCATCGGAATTGATATTGACACTCGGCCATTCACGATCAGTCGAAAGTTTTTTGAAAAGTGCAGCGAAACAACGAAAATTTGAAGTAGTAATCGCGGAATGTGCACCAGCTTGCAGAGGACATGCTTTGGCTGCCTCGTTGGCTAAGTCTAAGATTGAAACCACCGTCATTTCGGATGCGGCAATTTTTGCAATGATGTCTCGCGTGAATAAAGTCATCATTGGCACACACAGTAAGTCGTATTGAATGCGAAATGTGGAATCGCAATTATTCGATCATCATTGTTAGTATGGACGGCAATCATGAATAAAATTTCATTTTCTTCAAGGTGTATTAGCCAACGGTGGACTGAGAGCGGCTTGTGGAGCTCTAACCGTTGCATTGGCTGCAAAACATTACTCAGTTCCAGTTATTGTACTGTGTCCAATGTATAAATTGTCACCAGTGCACTTGTGTAGCTATGAACAAGATGCCTTTAACTTAGTTGGATGCGCAGAAGGCATAATCCCATATAGCTCTAGTGCAGCACCCTTTGCAAAGGCATTCAGTCCGATATTTGATTATGTACCGCCCGAACTCGTCACTTTATTCATTTCAAATCAGTTAGTTGTCTATTTTAACTATCAAACTGGTCTACGATCGATTTTTAATTGCTGTTTATTCTTTGTTTCAGGGGAGGGAATGCACCTTCATATATGTATCGACTGCTAAGTGAACTTTATCACCCAGAGGATTATGATTTGTAGCAGATTTAAATTATTGTTGTTAATAAACGACTAACATGATTGCTTTTTTCCCCCAAATTCAATAAACATCTTTAAGATTAACATAAAAAAACAACTTGTCAAACGTTCACTCCATCAAATAACTTTTCATATAAGCTGAGAATAGTAGAAATACTTTCAAAAAGAGAATATAAGTACATTTCTTGATGTGAAACGTCACAAAACACTGTAAATGTCAAATGACGTTGTTATTTACTGCAATACTAAGATATTTCATTGTTATCAAAACTTTAACTTCGTTATAACCAGCAAATCTTATTGCATCGAGTCATAATTATTTTCATTGTACGTATTTGCTTTCAAGCCTTTGGTTGTCTGTTTAAAGTTAGTCGAAGTTGATCGCTTAAACAGAACCATAAAAAATGTCAAAGTGGGACAACAACGAAGAGATTCAAATATTTCGAGAATATTTACGTATTCCAACGGTTCATCCGAATGTTGATTATGGTAAACATATGAAAACTAAATAAAAATTATATTTCGTAAATCAAATTGACTTTGTTTCCACAGAACCGTGTGTAAAATTTCTCCAAAGACAAGCGAAAAGTTTGAATCTTTCGGTGTCGATCTGTTATCCAGCCAATGAAAAGTGCCCAGTTGTAATACTGACATGGACTGGTCTTAATCCAGATCTGTCGGCAATCATGTTAAATTCCCACATGGACGTTGTGCCAGTGGATGAGAAACGTTGGACACATGGGCCATTTGACGCTGACATTGACCAAGATGGCCGAATTTTCGCACGTGGCTCACAGGATATGAAATCTACGGGAATGCAATATTTAGCTGCAATTCGAGCTTTGAAAAAGGATGAAAAACAATTGCAACGAACCATTCACGTAACATTTGTCCCGGACGAGGTGAAAAAATTAAAATAATAGTAATATTTATGTTAATTTTATTAATTTGTTTACTACCAGGAAATCGGAAGCGAGTTTGGAATGAAGGCTTTCGTAAATAGCTCTGAATTTAAACAACTTAATATTGGATTTTCACTGGATGAATCATGCGCTTTTCCATTGAATAAAATGCCAGTTTTTTATGCCGAACGCAGACAATTTGGTGAGATGGATTGAATAATATTTGGAAAAAGAAAAATAACAATTGAAATGTGTCTTTAGCACTAGAATTGATCTGTGAAGGTCAGGCCGGTCACGGATGTATTATTCAAGAAAATACACCCGGCGAAAAAGTACAGTACATGCTCAATAAATTGATGGAATTGCGAAAAATTGAATCACAAAAATTGAAAGATAACCCAGAACTGAAAATGGGTGATGTGACCGCAATAAATCTGACAATGATGAAGGGTGGACTGCAGACAAATGTCGTGCCATCTGAAATGAGTCTTACTTTTGACATTCGCTTGGCAATTGATGTCGATCATGATGCTTTCGAACAGCAGGTTGGGATTAATTTTTGAACGTTTTTGTTTAGTTTTCCTTCTTTTTAATGAAATCTGATATTCTTTATAAATCGCTCATTTTCATTCAACAGATAAAGGGATGGTGCGCTGAAGCTGGCGGCGGCATAACAATTAAGCCAATATTGAAGGATGCAGAAGCATCAATTACAAAAACTGATCATAGTAATCCATTCTGGGTGGCGTTCGAAGATGCTGTGAAAGAATTGTAATTTTTTAAATTTTTCAATCGGCTGTAAGTCGCAAACTGAACGAACACAATGATTTACATTTTTTTTAAACATCATCAGGAATTTAGATGTTGAAAAATGGGTTTGTCCAGGTAGCACCGATGCCAGATATATTCGCGAGGTAAGAAATATAAATCATATAACGATATCTAAAAATATACGTAATCTCAACCTAATTTTTAGTTAAATCTGCCGGCTCTTGGCTTCATGCCAATGCCAAACACACCGATAAGACTTCACGACCACGATGAATTCATTCAAGCCGATATTTATCTAAATGGGATCAACATTTACAAAAAGATTATCTCAAATCTGGCCAACGCATGAAATTACACGAGAAGTGTCAACAAAAAACCAGATACCAGCAACAACTGTGTTTATTAAACTTAAAATAAAGATTAAAATGTCATAATTTACTTACATCGAATGAGATGTAAATCATTGGTGGTGGTGGTTCATGCTCGAATAAATTGTATCGATCCATGGTTTGCATGCTCGGTTTCTGGAATGATTTGAAATAAATAAGAAAACCGAAACACAAGATGAATCCCATTTTCTGTTTATTTCCAATTGTTTTAAAAAGACACGATTCCTATCTTACTTCTTGCCTGTTGTATCTCATGTTATCTGTGGACAATCTGGTAATCACAATGATTCAAACCAATACCACTTTTGGTTATTTAATCAACCCTAATTCAGATATAAATCGAGTCACTTGATAATAGGATGTTTGCATAGAGGAAAACAATTCTAAACAGGCACTTAATTTACAGTAGAGATTAAACTGAAATTAGTTTCAAAATGTCACACAGTTTCACAGTGAAGTATACAGTGGATGTTGCCGGCGCTTTGTTCGTTACAGTGAGCGTTGATTTGTTTTTGTGGTTTGCTATTCAGATTAACAAAATGTATGTCGTTGCAATGTGTGCGCCTGTGTAAACGAATGAAGTTATCTGTGGGTAAACTTGTAGCTGCATACTGCTATTCGTAAAACCACAAGCATGCAATCAACATTGTATGTGTTTATGACAGCTCAAGTGTCGAGATATTGTTCTATATAAAATAAAACAGTTTGGCACTTAGTTTTTATTTGACAGCTGAGCGCAGTCTTGTCTTTGTTTGTATTTTATCATTGGATTTTTGGTGTGTTTTCTTTATTTTGCTGACAATAAAATGACAAATTGGGATACTAATGAAGAAATCCAAATATTTCGCGAATATTTGCGCATTCCGAGTGTACACCCAGACATCGATTATGGTAAAATTGATTTGGGAAATGACACGAACTTTAAATTGACTTTAATTTGGTGATTTTCAGAGCCATGTGTTGAGTTTCTCAAGCGGCAGGCCAAAAGTTTAGACCTTCCAGTATCGATCCACTATCCGGTGAACGATAAAAACCCCATCGTAATTTTAACATGGGTCGGTGAGCAGCCAAATCTTCCATCCATCGTCTTGAATTCTCATATGGATGTCGTACCAGTGTTCGAAGAACATTGGACGCACAAACCGTTTGACGCTGACATCGATGAAGATGGAAAGATTTTTGCACGTGGCGCTCAAGATATGAAATGCGTTGGTGTACAATATCTAGCGGCTATTCGAGCACTAAAACGAGATGGTGTGAAACAGCTCAAAAGGACGATTCATGTCATATTTGTGCCAGATGAAGGTATTAATTTGGTTTTACCGGATATAAAATTGAATTATTTTCTTGAAGTAGAACCATTACATAACAAAACGAACTGAAATTCCTTTTTCTTTTTGGCTATGAACATAGAGGTCGGAGGTTACTTTGGAATGGCCAAATTCGTAACAACCGATGAGTTTAAAGCATTGAACGTTGGATTTTCGCTAGATGAAGGCATTGCTTCGCCAACGGAGGAGTTTAATCTCTATTACGCAGAGAGTAATCAACGATTTTATTCCAATGTAATCATCACGAATTAACTGTTCATTATTTTTTTCAAGGAACTATTTGGCAGATTGAATTCATTTGCCATGGCCAATCAGGTCACGGGTCAATGCTGTTTAAAAATACCCCCGGAGAAAAGATTCACTATCTTGTCGATAAATTGATGAGCTTCCGTAAGGTTGAAGCCGCCAAATTGGAGAATAATGCAAATGTGGATCTTGGCGACGTAACAACTGTTAATATGACCTTGCTCAAGGGTGGTGTCCAAGGTAGAGTGGTAGAAATAAGTGTATTGTACAATATTATTTACGATTCTTTCCACAAAATGGTTCAGGCAATGTTGTTCCACCGGTACTGAGTGTAGTATTTGACATTCGCATTGCCAACGATATCAAACTTGATGAATTTGAAAAGACTGTAAGTAAAATTTTACGAATTTGAAATTTTCAAATTTTAATTGGTGACACGTTTCATCACTGAACAGATCAACCGTTGGTGTGAAGAGGCTGGAGGCAATATCGAACTCAATTATATACACAAGAATCCACAGGCGCCAGTCACAGCAATTGATGATTCAAATCCCTATTGGTTGGCCTTCAAAAAAGCAATTGATGAATTGTACGAAGTTTTTTTCTTCTTCAATTATTGAAGTCTTGCATATCATTTAACTTCGTATCAATTACAGAAATCTAAAGATGAAAACTAAAGTCTTCCCCGGTGGAACCGATAGCCGATACATTCGCAGGGTATATAACATATTTTTTATAACTACTTCACTTGAAACCTCAGCCAGTTCAACTAAAATCTATGTTTTATTGTAGCAAAATATACCTGCACTTGGTTTCTCGCCTATGAATAATGTTCCTGTTTTGCTGCACGATCACGATGAGTACGTTCGATGTGAGACTTATCTGGCTGGAATTCAGATTTATAAAAAAATCATACCAAATTTGGCCAATGTTTGATTTGAAATACCAACTTATTCCAATAGATCTTTAGTTTTAAACACAAACTCTTGTGAAGAAAAACTTTTTTGATTTATTTCCAATAAAACAATAGCTTGTTTACAAACACTTGAACTTCAATCGACTACTTTATTCGATATTTGCATTCAAATGGATAGGTTAGCTTTTAATATCATCAGCAAATGATTTTTGTTATTACAGGTTTAGTGCATCATGATACAACCAGAAAACTTGAATTAGGTAGAGAGAAAAAATATGAAAAGATAACAACTGCTTTGATGTTGGTTTAATCTTGATGCAAAGAAACACGCATCTCAGTGCTACTCTGAACCATGTTTGCATACAATCTTTCGTGAGAAGCTAAGCAATTAAATATCTTTGGAAATAGCAATAGAAATATTAGAATTGTTAATGATCGAGTGAATTCAACGGAATATTTGACTTCCAGCGATAGAGGATGAGTTTGAAGAAATGTCAATACTCCGAAATCAAAAATCGAATTGGCATTTTGATTACCAACGTCGTACAAACACATACTAATTAACACATTAGATGATGATAAGAAGAATTATTTTTAAAACGTATTTTTTTTTCAAATTGAGAAATTGAAAGTGAGAGAATACATATAATGTGTGACAGTCAGATGCTTTCGCTCTTTATGTTTGACTGTTGATCGAATACAATCGAATAAAATACTATATACTTTTTGATGATATAAAACACAACTAAGTTTTTTTTTATTCCACTGACATTGTGTGTGGAATTAATTTCCAAGCTCGTTTAAAATAAAATTAAAAGTTTTCAAGTTTATTCAAAATCATCATCTCCTGCATAAAAAATAATCCACATCAAACAAGTACAGTACCATACATTCAACAATATCCTTGGATTGTTGGAGTTTTGATCATTTTCATCATTTGGTAAGAAAATTTAATCACAACAACATAGACAAAATGCTAGTATAATTTATATATAAAAAAATTATTGCCAATTTGGGCAACGTTTGATTTATGGTTGCTGTTTTTTCTTCAATTTCTACTAAAATATTCAAATACTCAAAATTAAATGAACATAGTCGTATTGTTAAAAGACTATCCGATGTGATACATTGTTATTTTATTGTTTACTCACAAAAAAATGCACAAGGATTGATGTTTCTATACATTTTGACCACGAAAAGGTAAAAAAAAAGAGTTTGGTCTTTCTTGTGTATTGGGCCGTTTATATTGACTTTTTGAGGTTAAATTTGAGCTTTTTTCTGAGTAGTTATTTTTGCTGCATTTGACTTCTCATATATTTACATATGTGTTACTGAGAATAAATATGACTATACAGAAGCAGAGATCAGGCGCCAGATATATGCATTGGCATAGAAAAACTGTGCGGATAATTTTAGCAATGTGCTTGTGCATTCCTTTGGAATGATAAACGACGATGCCGTTGAAAACAGCTTGACGGTTGAGGATGAAACGAAAACTGGAGGTGACACCAAATTCGATGTGCTGAAGGCCATCAAGAATGTAAAAGTATTTATACACAAACAAGCACCGCACACTCAAAAACAGAAAATTGTTTGTAGATTGTAGAAGCACCTACAGTTATTGTAGTGGCTCAAAAAATCTACAATTATTTTCGGGCCACTACAATTAATTCTTGGTTACTTCAATTATTAAAACACATTTTATAGCAGTTTATAGCAGTTTTATTCCCATATTAAATATTAAACTCCCCTGGAGCCAAATAAGAAATAATAATCGAACGAATGGGCTGACATATTCGGAAACAGACAATTGATTTTAATTCTACAATTTATCTACAATTTTTTGGAACCATTCTTCATTCGAAAAAAATTCGATTTGTGGAAAATACGTTTTTTGACCAAGATTTGAGTTTTTCCATTTTATAGCAGTTTTTCGATAGCTGATTACTCAAAAAAATTGTTCCTAAATAAAAAAAAGTAAAAACACTACATTAAACTACATAAAATCTACAATTGAAATCGCCCTACCCGAAGTTATTTCGGCAAATTTTCCAAGATTTGAATATTCATCTAAATATTTTCCGATATTGCAAGACGTTTTGATCAAACGACGAGGAAAAAGCCGAAGAAACGATGGTTCCAGCGTAATTTGTGCCTTTTAGCACAACGAAAATTTATTTTCTGGATGGAATTAAATCAATGTTAAATCAAACGATTTAAAATAGAACTTTGGTTGCCCCATCTTATAATTGCTTAGTTGTTTCTTTATTCTTCAGAATAATCTATTACTTTACAAAGCAAATATTTCGTAAAACAATCGGTGTATGATAATAAACGATAAAAAAAGATACATAAAATTTGTTCCATGTATGTAATAGTTCTGGAGTTCACGTTTATTCGTGAGTATTTTTGTGTGCTTCTAATGTCGAACCTGATGTTGTATCCGAATAAAAAAAAATTTCGTGCACACGATTGTAGTAGTTCACTGTAAATTCGTTGTAATAGTAGAAAATAAGTGGAATCAGCTATGGAATGTTTAGCGAAAACAAAGCAGTTTGACTTGAAAACAGAAATGGAAGACAAGACTAAACATTCCTGCGCGTATCGTTGCGTTTGGAATCTAAAATTCCTCACCTTTCTTTGCATATGGTAAGTAGCATTGGTTTTAGATTCAGATCGATTGAATTATTGTGACTAAAGTCATATTGTTCTACTTGCAGTGTTGCTATAATCACGTGTGCCATATATTTTCCATACAACTTGAAATTAAAAGAATCGGTAAGCGAAAACCCACTACTGCACCTAGTTGACCAACAAGAATCTGTAAGTGAAAATATCGGTGGCATAAATAAATGGGAGGACAATGAAGAAATACAAATATTCCGCGAATATTTACGTATTCTAAGTACTTATCATCATCATCAACCTGATATCGACTATGGTAAACAGTAGGAGATTTCAAAAGAAAGAATCATTTGTCATAAAAATTATTTTTTTTCTCAAATAAACAAAATCAATATTATTCATATGACATCTTTAGTGTAAATTCATAGAGCCTTGCGTTGAATTTCTCAAGAGGTAAGCGAAAAGCTTGGATTTGCTCGTGTCCGTTTCCTATCTAGTATACCAGTATACGGGAAGAATCCAGTGGTTGTGATAACTCAGTGGGTTTCTGTCAATTATGTTAAACGCGCTCTAGTATGCAATATTTGGCAGCGATACGAGCACTGAAGCGAGAAGGAGTAAAGCGAATGAATCGAACCATTCAACAAATTTAAGCCAAAACTAAGCAATGGCTCATAGAAATTAGATGAAATGGGTTGATTCGGAAAGGAAATGAGCCCATTAAATTGCTCGAACGAGAAATCCGTTTGGCCACATATTTGAATGTCGTTGGGGAGTATGGAACGTCATGCAAGTTGATCCTGGTGGTATTGATATCATACCTAAGCATTGGCTCAT